TCCCTCATTAAGGACCTTTTGAAATTGTGTTTTCCTGACTCTTCGACGGTTCAATAGGAACCTCGATTGTGAGTCGTTAGATGGCGATGATCAAGCACCTCGGGAGGTTCGACTTGGTGGCTGAGTATCTTGAAGCCTATAGTTTGGAGCTGATATGGTCGAAGCTCTTTTGCCTATGTCGAGGGTAGCATGTTTAACCAGTTCTTTTCGAAGTATTTTCGAAGTAATTGAAGGCTTGTAATTTTATAGCGACGATCGGGCGTCCCCGAGTCGCGTTAGTTTGGCTGGTACAACCTTGTGACCGTAGTTATTGTGTTTGGCCGGAGCCTTTCAGTCCCCAAGTGAAGTAGTCTCGGCGTCTATATCGAGGGTATGCCTTTTTAAGGGTCTTACAAGTTCGATATATAGCCTTAACTTTAAGATCAGGATTATGCCTTTTGTAAGGGCTTACAATTTTTTACATGCCTTTGAGGTCTTATAGTTTTTGGTTACTTGGTACAAGTATGGTTCATGCCTTGCTTAAGGTCTTACAGTTTTGGTCACTTGGTACAAGTGTGGTTCAAGCCTTGCTTGAGGTCTTACAGATATTTTTGTTGCCTTATATAGGTCTTACGAGACCGAGGCTGCCCACGTGGGGTCTTATGGCCTCGGATTTTTTGATAAGTTAATGGGGGTGGCAATTGGCGGCAGTCCCCGAGTCATTGAAAGTTTTTGGCTGGAACCATTCCTTGTAAACTTGGTATTGCCTCATCGAGGGCTTACGAGTTATAATCTTCCGACCCGGAGGTCATGCGGCCTCGAGTTTTTGACACTATTTCTCGAGTGCTCGGGATGTTCTTTTTGGCTCTGGGGCCGTTTTTTGAACTTGATGTTGACTCATTGAGGGTTTACGAGTTTGAAGCTCCAACCCGGAGGTCATATGGTTTCAAGTTGTTGACACCAGTCCCCGAGTGTTCGGGACATTTTTTTGGCTTTGGGGCCATTTTGTGAACTTGATGTTGCCTCATCAAGGGCTTACGAGTTTGAAGCTCCGACCCAGAGGTCGTATGGTTTCGAGTTGTTGACGCAAGTCCCTGAGTGTTTGGGACATTTTTTAGCTCTGGGGCTGTTTTTGCAAAAAATATCGAGCTTTCTTGAAACGCGAAATGCTTTGATGAAGGGGAAAGTGTTCTTTGATTACTTGGTACAAGTATAAACGTTTTCGCTGTTAAGGGCTCGGTTATTCTATACAGACACGGTTCGTTCGACCATTTGGCTCGGTACATTATTTTCCTATCGAGACCCCATTTAGCACATCTTGGCTTCTCCGAGGAGGCGCCCTTCCGGGAGGGATGCCCTCTAGTAGAGGCTGATTGAAAAGAAGTCTTGAATACTTGTTGAGTCTTCCTTAGGTAGCATATAGATATTGCCTCGTTAAAAACCTTGCTGGTAAAAACCCTTCTTGGGATCAAAACCCGATCGAAGGAAAAGAATGTAATGCATGCTTTTGATATTTAAGGCCTTTGAGCTTTTAGCAGTAATAACGTTTAAGCATTGAGACATTCCAATTGCTTGGAAGCTGTTCGCCTTCCATGGTGCCGAGTTTGTAGGATCCTTTAGCAACTATCCCAAGGATACGGTATGGTCCTTCCCAGTTCTGACCTAGCTTTTCTTTATTAGGATTCGAGTATTCAAGGTGACCTTCATTAGGACTAAGTCCCTGATTCCAAAATGTCGGAGATTTGTTCTCTTATTGTAGTATCTTTCGATCCTCTGTTTTTGTGCGGCTATTCGGACCAGTAAGGCTTCTCGCTTTTCATCCAATAATTCGAGAGGAGTAGCCATGGCCTCATTATTCGAGCTCTCGGTGGTGTGTCAGACTTTGGTAGTAGGTTCTCCGACCTCGACCAGTATCAAAGACTCAGAGCCATATACCAAGGAGAAAGGCGTTTCCCCCGTGCTTGATTTTGGAGTTGTTCGATATGCCCAGAGTACTTCGGGCAATATTTCTCTCCATCTTCCCTTTGCGCCTTCTAGTTTCTTCTTTAAGTTTTGAATGATGGTTTTGTTTGTGGACTCGCTTGGCCGTTTGCACACGGGTGATAGGGTGTTGATAAGATCCTTTTAATCTTGTGATCCTCGAGGAACTGAGTCACTTTGCTTCCGATGAATTGCTTCCCATTATCATACGTTATTTCGGAAGGAATTCCGAATCGGCATATGATGTGGTCCCAGATGAAATTAATGACTTCTTTTTCCCTTATTTTTTCGAAGGCCTATGCTTCAAAACATTTTGAGAAGTAGTCAGTCATAAATAAAATAAATCTAGCTTTACCTAGCGCCGTTGGTAGAGGTCCGACGATGTCCATCCCCCATTTCATGAACGACCATGGTGACAAAACTGAATGTAGTTGTTCACCAGGTTGGTAGATCATTGGGGAGAATCTTTGGCATTTGTCGCATTTGCGGACGAACTCTTTGGTGTCCTTCTCCATGCTGTCCCAATAGTAGCCTGCCCTGATTATTTTTCAAATTAAGGAATCAACACTGGAATGATTTCTGCAGGTGCCCTTGTGGATCTCTCGGAGCACATAGTCAGTATCTCCTGGCCCTAGGCATACTTCTTGAGGGCCATCAAAGGTTCTTCTGTAAAGAGTTCTGCTTTCGTCGAGCGAGAATCGGGCTACTTTGGTACTAGGGCCCTCGACTCTTTTGGGTCCGCGGGTATCTTCCCGCTTTCTAAATAGTCGATATATTCATTTATCTAATCCCATGTTAGGCTAGGGGAGTTGATCTTGGCGTGGCCTTCCTCGATCACTGACTTGGACAGTTGAACATGCAGATCCGGGGAGTATGTTATCTTCTTCGACGGATGATCCCAGGTTTGCGAGTGCATCAACTTCGCTATTCTCCCTCTCAGGGTATGTGGACCAGGATCCATTCTTTGAAGCGGTGCAATGTGATTTGAATTTTGTCTAAGTATCTTTGCATCATGTCTTCCCGAACCTCGAAGCTCCATTTACCTGATTTACCACCAGGAGAGAATAGCATTTTGCTTCGATGACCTCAGCTCCGAGGCCTCTGGCCAATTTCAAACCCGCAATCATGGCCTCATACTCGGCTTCATTGTTAGTTAACCTTACGGTTTTTATAGATTGTCTAATCACGCTGGCCGTAGGTGGCTTAGGACTATGCCGAGCCCGGACCCTCTTACGTTCGAGGCACCGTCGGTGAACAGGGTCCATATCCCGAAGGATGTGCCTATTTTTAGCAAAAGTTCTTTCCCACCTCGGGTATGAGAGAGGGAGTGAAGTCGGCTAGGAAGTCTGCCACAATTTGAGACTTTATAGTCGTCCGAGGCTAATACTCGATATCGTATCCCTCGAGTTCGATGGCCCATTTGGCCAACCGGCCCAATAATTCGGGTTTATGAAATATGCTTCGAAGGGTATACGTTGTTAAAATGCAAATATGATGACATTGAAAGTAAGGTTTCAATTTTCGAGATGCACTTATTAATGCAAGAGCTAGTTTTTCTAGATGCGGATACCTAGTTTCGTCATCACCCAGGGTCTGACTTATATAATAAACAAGGAATTGCGTACCTTATTTTTCTTGGACCAGCATGCCACTTACCGCTATCTCGGATACGGCCAGGTACAAAAACAATGTCTCATCCTCTTTTAGGGTGTGGAGCAAAGACCGGCTCATCAGGTATAGCTTCAACTCCTCCAAGGCGTGTTGACACTCCAGAGTCCATTCAAAGTTGTTTTTCTTTTTGAGCAATGAGAAGAAATGATGACTTTTGTCTGATGATCTTGATATAAACAGGCCCAAGGCTGCTATCCGTCTGGTCAGCCGCTGTATGACCTTCATGTTATTTACCATCGTAATTTCTTCGATGGCTTTGATTTTATCGGGGTTGATCTCGATTCCTCTGTTCGATACCATGAAACCCAAGAATTTGCCTGATCCTACCCCGAAGGTGCACTCTTCGAGATTGAGTTTCATGTTGTAACTTTTGAGGATGTCGAATGTTTCCTGCAAATGAGTCAAATGGTCCTCTGCACATAGGGACTTAACTAGCATATCATCAATATAAACTTCCATGGACTTGCCTATTTGATGCTCGAATATCTTATTAACTAGGAGCTGATATGTAGCCCCTGCATTTTTTAGCCCAAATGGCATTACATTGTAACAGTACGTACCGTACTTTGTGATGAAAGAAGTCTTTTCTCTATCCTCGGGGTTCATTTGAATTTGATTATACCCCGAATAGGCATCGAGATTAGTAAGGGTTTCATGGCCGGCCGTGGCATCGACCAATCAGTCGATGTTGGGCAGTAGGAATGAATCCTTTGGGCATGCCCTGTTTAGATCTTTATAATATACTCACATCCTTAGTTTATTCCCCTTTTTGGGAACTACCACCACATTGGCCACCCATTTGGGATATTTACTTCCCTAATAGATCCTATCTTGGGGAGCTTTGTTACCCCGTCCTTGATGAATGCATGCTTTACCTCGGACTGGGGTCTCCTTTTTTGCTTTACCGGTGTGTATCTGGGGTGGACACTCAGTTGATGGGTAGTTATATCTGGTGGGATCCTTGTCATGTCTAAATGGGACCAAGCAAAGAAAACAATGTTGTTAATAAGGAATTGGATGAGTTTTTTCCTGAGTTCGGGGGTTAATCCCGTCCCTAGGTATACCTTCCGATCGGGGAGATGCTCGACCAATACGGCTTGCTCCATCTCTTCGACAGTCGACTTCATTGCATCTGATTCTTCGAGGGCAATGAAGGTTCTTGGGGTGAGGAAATCCTCTTCATCGTCCTCGTGGGTCTGTTGGCTTTCTGATTCCTCCGAGGTGGAGTGTACAGAATTTGGTACCTCTTCGTGGACCACAAACATTTCTTTTGCCTTAAGTTGCTCTCAGTATATTATCTTTATTCCGTCCTTTGTTGGAAACTTTATCATCTAATATAGGGTCGATGGTACCGCCTTCATGTTATGTATCTATGGTCTACCGAGCAAGGCATTGTACCTTGTATCACATTTAATGATATGGAACCTGGTATCTTGAATTGCATTTGATATATTAACCAGGAGAGTGATTTCTCCTTCAATTACTTTGCCGGCCATATTAAAGCTGTTGAGGATTCGGGAGGTAGGTATGATCTGATCGACCAATCCGAGCTGCTCTACGACCGTCGATCTAATTACATTGGCCGAGCTACCTGGATCCATGAGTACATGTTTAATTTGGATGTTATTTAAGAGAAATGAGATTACCAGTGCATCGTTGTACGGATGAGATAGAGTCTCGAAGTCTTCTTTGCTGAATGCGAGGATGTCCTCAGACGCCCGACCCCAGGTTTGCCCTTGTGTTGCTGCGGAAACCTTTATCCGCTTGATTACGGGTCCCTGGGAAACGTTGGTTCCCCTGATAATCATATGAATGGTGTGCTGAGGTTTTCCCATTTTGCTTCCCCTATTTGCCTCTCTTTCTTCCCGGGTGGGGTTTTTCCGAGTGTCCTGTTGATTTTACCTGTGCATAGTCCTATTGGTGTGGGAACTTATGCCAATGTATCGAGTGTTGCGCGAGACCGCGCCCATGTGAATTGGTTTTGGTGCATTCTCAGGGTTTCGTGGTGGTACACCAACATCTGGAACATCCACACCATTCTCTCCATGGTCCTCGAGATTGTTGTTTTCACGTGTGTTTACTAAGTTAGACATTTTGACCTGAAATCAAAAGATCTTGGACAAGAAAAAGTGTGAAAGATAACTTGTGTTATGTATTAAAATCAACAAGAAAATAATCGCTATTATTTTTATCCCCACGGTGGGCGCCAAACTGTTTACCTTGAAAATGGTAATTACAATTAGATTTGATTTTGTGGTTTTAAAAATATGTGATCTATTTTTATGCTAGTTGTTAGGTAATTGATGCTAAGTGAAAACTTGGAAACAAGATAATAGCTTGAAAATGATGTGATAACCAAACCGAACGGCTAATAATCGGGGCCTCGAGCTTGCGTATTCGGGGCCTCGAGGTCAAGTCGGATGCCCTGCCGAGGGTAGTCAATGGAGGACTAACAGTTGTGATAAATTCAATGACGACTCTCTATGGCCAATAATAGGCAATAAATGAAGAACAATAAATAGAACGCATTGGATATGAGCAATAAATGGAAGTAATAAGATCAAATGAATATGTTAGAGAGCAGAGAGAATGTTCTTGTGTATTCAATATTGAGCATCAGCCCCTTCTACAAAATAACAAGGGTCCCCTTTATATATGAGGGGGAATCCCAATATAGTATAAATGCATGTGTAATTATTACATCAATTAGCTGGTACAACCACTCAATCAGCTTGGTGTAGACTGTCTTTTGCGCAGGCGTTTGTCAGAAAATACAGCTCCTAGGAAACTTCCCGCTTATCGACGATAAACACCGGTCCATTCTGCCCCGATATCGAGTGCGAGGACTCCCCGAAGGCATTGAACCCCAGGATATCCTCCGGGACCTTCGAGGCGAGATTGCGCAATACCTTGTCAATTGTAAAATTGGTCTTCCCGATATTAGCCATATACACATACCAAGTATTTTATTGAAATGAAATTTCTTATAAAATCTTTTTATTTAACATAACCCTCTTCGATCAGAAATGCACCTTCTTATTAGAAGGTAATTGCAGATTTCCCAAATTGATAGCCAAAAAGTACACTGTTTGATCTAGAAGAACTATATAATATCTTTTGGTCTAACTTATTTTGAATTTTTTTCTTCTCAAAAGTGCTTTTCAAAAAAGTACTTTTGGTGAGAAGTAGTTTGTGGTTGGCTAATTAATTTAAAAAGGAATTTTTACATTCCTATACACTATATGAAACTATATTACCCTCCCCACTCAAGTTTTACTATAATTATATTTTATATACCCAATTACCATACATGTATATTTTAAGGGAATTAATGGTATTAATTACTGTCCTAAAATAACTCTACCGTATATTCTCACTCCCCCCACATTTCTCTCTCCACATCCCATCCCCTCACCCACGTATCTTCACCCACGATTTTCTCTTCATAATTCTCAGAATCCTCCATTAACCCTTTTTTCATCTCTTCTTCACAAACCAGACGAAATTGAGACTCTTATTCAAATATCCTACCTCCATTAATGTCTCTGATTACCTTGATTTTCTATGAAGAAGAAGATATCTTCAAAGAATAGCCCTACAAAAGACAAAGGAGAAGAAGTTCCTTCATTTAATTTGGGTGTTGTTTCACCAAATTCACCAAAAAAGACTTCAAAATCAGCTCATGCAAAAGAAGAGAACAAGCCCAAGCTTTCCCCTCGTGAAGCTAGGGCAGAAGCTCGAACAAAGCAAAAGCACGAAATTGATGCTGGTGAATCTTCCATACCTGTCAAATCTGCGAAAAGGAAAGGCAAAGAGAATGATTTCGATGATGATTTTGTCAAAGAAAAAGCTGCCATTAAAGTTGCAAAAAAGTTAGAGTGTCTCCTAATGTAAAAGCTTCAAAAATCTACTAAAACTGTTCCCCAACAGTCATTGGTGAAGGTAAGAATTTATTAGTTTCAAAAATAAATTTTGGTAAAAGCTAAAAAAAATTGTTCTCATTCTTATAAAACTATATAATGTTTGATTTTGTTGTCTGTAGAAATTTTGTCTACATTGTGTAGATTTGTTTTAGGTTTATAATTGATGATTGTAGATACATTTTTATATAAATGTTTGCCTTGTTTTGACTCTGTTTAAAAATTATAGAAATTTGGTAATTAAATTGTAGTTATGTTGTTATCTATTTTTGACTCTGTTATATAATTGTATAGGAATATTGTATTAAAAATGTAGATAGTTTGTTTTGTTTTAGGTTTGAGCCTTGTTTTAATAAGGAAATTTTCCTTTTGCTGCAGAATGAACCTTTTTTTGCACCTCATAATGTTGATTATGGGGTCGTTAGGTTTCAGATATTATTTAACCCAGTATTCATGGACAAATCAAGGATTTATTGTCTGTAAATGGTTTAAAGCTTTTCAAAAAGACATGTTTTGGTTATTTTCTTTCATTGCCCAGAATATGTATGCAAAATCAAGCAATTCATCTTCTAATGAAGTATGAATTGAATGCATCTGGTTCTGACTTTTTTTCAGCAAAGATAAAGGGTCAGAGGTTGAATTTTGGCTTGAGAGAGTTTGCGTTGATAACTGGTCTAAAATGTTTTACGAAAGTGACAGACTTTGGTTACACACCTACATATGACACTAAAATAATGAGAAACTACTTTCCATACAAGGAAAAAGTTGAGAAGTCATGCTTAAAACAAATTGTAACCACCAAAGGTTGGTTGAACGATGACGATGCAGTCAAGTTGTGTATTCTATATCTCATAGAATTCTTCCTCTGTCCTTCATACAAAGACAATGTAGGGTTGGTAGACCATTTTAGGTTTTATTTGGTGGACTCAGGACAGTATGCGAACTACGCATGGGGTATTGATTCTTACAAACAATTGCTTCAGTCTGTTAGGCACAAGCTCAATCCTACTGTTCATTCTTATCTCATTCGAGGATGTGCACTAGCTATGCAAATATGGTTGTATGAGCGTTGCTCTACCGTCAAAATTGATATAGCTACAAGGGTTGTTAATTCTATCCCTCGCATACTTAGCTCGTCAGCTAGTAAGGACAAGATATGGTTATCTGCAATTGTAGATAGAATGATCAAACCAGCATGGATCAAGGTAAATGGTTTTTACTTATGAGCAGACAATTTAATACAATTTATCTACAACTTTTGTACATATTATGTCTAAGTCAAACTAATTTCCTTTTTCACGTAGTTCACCAACATAATTGAAGTACCCGAAGAGCTTTCTAGAATGTCTTTGCCTGATAAAATTGAATACATACTTAAAGAAGTTGAAACCAAGTCCGAGGCTCTGAAAGATGATGCATCTCCATCGGGACACACGAAGTCAATTGGAATAGAGGAAAAGATAGATATTCTGACAGAAATTAAAAATTTAAGAAAAGATATTGAGAAGGTAACATATATACAGAATCTTGGATGTTTCTTTAATTTATGTTAAGTCAATATTTCCGTTAACTCTCTATATTTTAATATGTAGGTTGCTTTAGATCTTGGATCTTTCAAGACAGATGTTTTTGAAGAACTAGGTAGCTTTCAACTGCTACTCAATGACTCAATCAAGGCTGTTTTGCAGGCGATAAACAGTCAAAAGGATAAAATTGATGCCACGATAATATTTGAAATATATTCATTTAACAGAACAATTTATATCACCTCTAAGTTTATATTATCATCCATAAAGTATATATCCTAACAAAATTAAAGCGTGCAGTTTGCTGGAAGTTCTACAAAAATTGCTGAGCAATCAAAAGAAAAGAACAATCAAAATTTTCCGTGCAGTAGTGAGAAACCAACACATGCCAACAACAGTAAAAAAAGCATGTACACCATATCTACATTATATACAATATATCTACAATATGTCTAGACATATCTATATTATGCCTACAGTATATCTACACAGATTTACATATCTATGTAGATGTCTATAATGTACCTCTATATTGCCTAAAAATGTATCAACTAATGTGCATTATAATTCAAATGGGTTTCTTAGATACAGGACATGTAAATGACATGGAAATTAATGAGAGTGCTCCTGTACATGTTGCTTTAGATTCTCATTTTGAAGCGACAATTGATGAAGAGAATGCAGGTATGAGTTAATACATGTTATCATCACATCAACATTATAAACTTAGTAATTATCATATGCATGACATCATTTCAACAAAATTACTACATTTAAACTACAATTTATATTCTGAAAATGTTAGTGTTTAGTACAATTTTTCTACGAAATGATTAAGTTGAACATACTTACTGTAATAGTGTGTCACGACCCCAAATACCGGTCGTGATGGCGCCTATCACATTACTAGGCAAGCCGAACCAATTATATACTACAACCCATTTTAATTTTAAATAAATCATTTGCTAATATGGTTTAATTACCAATTATCATAATAAGTGTTTAAAACAGCAAGATAGACATGTAAAAGTCAACAATACATAGAAACTACATAGCCCACCTGATCTGGTGTCACAAGTCTAGAGCCTCTAATACAATTCTGGACAACCTACTACATAGATAGTCTAGGAATGCAGAAGAGTAATAAGATAGAAGGGACAAATCAGGGCTGCGGACGCCATGCAGCTACCTCGAAATCCCCGACAATTGCTGAATGACTGAAAAGCTCTCACTCGGACTCGGGGGCAACTGGATCTGCACGCAAGGTGCAGGGAGTAATGTGAGTACTCTGACCTAGTGAGTAATAAAGATAAATAATGACTGAAAGTAAGAAAACACGTATACACGGGGTATTCTATAATGAAGCAATTAAATAGGTAATTGTAAGCA